GAAATGTAAATGCATAATTATGAATTGTGTGTTCCTTATTGTAAGCATTTGATATAGTATAAAAGACATGACATCGATGGATTTTTCTGATGAAAAACTGGTTGCAAGAAAAATATTATATAGAAAACAAAGATTACTTTGGGTTTCTTTGAAGAGTTTAACAGTATAAAAGTATCTCCACACTAAATTATTTTTATGTGTAAGGCATTAAAGTATTTCACCCTAACCTTTCATAGAGTTTAAATATGTAAAGTCAAGCCTCTCAGACAAAACTACTGTGGTAGAAACAAATTACACATTAGTCTTAGATTTCCTTTTGTGAGCTTAAGGTAAGCCTTGCTGTAGTGGCTCTTCATACTATCATATTTCTACAGGTTAATTTATTTAAAGCAGAGATACTAAAAGCTGAATCCAGCTTGAAAATAAGTCCAGATGTATGCATTTTCCATTTTGGGGGATTTTTTTGTATTAGGGACCAAACTCAGGATCTTGCACTTTCCAGACAGGTGCTGTGCCACTGACCTACATCCTCAGCCCTGCATTTCCAGTTTTAAAAAACTAGACAATCTACCATTATTGTGCCCTTGTTTCTTACATGACAAAAAAACAGCTAGAACTCAGTAGTATCAACAATTATTCCTTTATTTTCTACCTACTTTTCTTCATTGATCCAATTTCATTTTATAATCATACTCTAAAGTTATGTAAATATGAACTTTGTCCATGAATTTGATTGTCTTTTTCAAAATTAATGCCATAGTCAGTTAATTTTGTTTTTGACTATTGCATCTCTTTTAAGGCAATATGTCTAACAGAAGACCATTGAGCTTTATGTTTTTGTATATTAGTAAATCTCTGCTTTAATATTGTGTCTATTTTTTTTTTTCCTTTTTTTTTTTTTTTTTGGTACCGGGGATCAAACTCGGGACCTTGCGCTTGTGAGGCAGGCGCCAGAACCACTGAGCTAAATCCCCAGCCCAATATTGTGTCTAAATAATAGCAATAATGGTTCTTACAAGACTAAATAAATCTCGTTGCCTTTGTTCTTATTTGCTCATTAAATCATAGCATGTAGTAGCTAGGATTTTCTTGTCCCTAAATAAATAAACAAGCTTGGAGTCTGGGTACTAGATGTAGTTGAGGTAACCCTGTTTTGAATCAGCAGCATGTGATGAGCAGATAGCCTATAAAGTTTTTGTGACTTTGGTGATTTTCTGTGCTTGTATTTTTGAATCATATAGCCACAGCCCTCCTTGGGCATAGTCCTCAGAACAATTGAGATGCTTAAGAAAATGCTTCGAAGTAATATTTTCTTTGGTTTAACTGTCAGCTGTGGTGCCGGGTACAGGTATATCCATTGCCTACTTCATGAATCCACAGAGTACAATTCTCATGTGTAACATATCCTCTGGAGTTATGCCACTTAGCAACCTTGTCTAAAATTATGAGGAATTTTGCCTCATTTTACATTTAAGACTTTTCACGATGGAAGAAGGGAGGAGGAACATTTATATCTATTCTCAAAATTTAAAAAACATTTTAAAACAATCATATTTGCTTTATTTTGGTAAAAATGAGTTTTTCAAAGAAAATTGTTCAAAGTTAGTTGCTTTATAAGTAGAAACAATAGAGTTTCCATTTCCTGTTAGAATTGGACAGAAATAAAAATTTGAGTGGCTTTATTAAATATTTTTTCAAGAGTTATTGATAAACTGTTAATGTGGAATATCTCATTTTTGCTCTATTTATTACAATATTTGTTTGAAATTCAGAGTATTATATCTTTATGAAAAAATACTCACTTTGGCATAGATTAACAGTAGAGCTATATATCAGAAACATCAGGTTGTTTTTGTACTAAAAAGCTTATCAAATCACTGTAATCATTCAGTTTTAATCACAGAATAAATATTTGTTTATTTATTTATTTATTGGTATTGGGGATAGAACTCGGGTCCTTGTGCTTGCAAAGTAAGCGGCGGGACCACTGAACTAAATCCCCAGCCCCCGAATATATTTTAAAATTTACAAAATCAAGAAGGGGCAAGTTTTGGGTTTGTTTTTTTTTTTTTTTTGGTACCAGAGATCGAACTCGGGACCTTGCGCTTGTGAGGCAGGGGGCAGAACCATTGAGCTAAATCCCCGGCCCAAGAAGGGGCAAGTTTTCACTTAGTTTTACTTTGGTAGTTTATAGATATGAAGTCTACTAAAGTTGTCACAAATAAGAAAAATAATTCAATTCTAATGTTTGACATTTAAGTGATTTTTCTTTAAATAAAATAAATTATGTTGGCTAGTGAGTTTTACAGTTATTAAAAAGTGATACCCCTCAGCATTGTTCTCTTTGCTGGAGAAAAATCTTTGTAAATAAAAATTGTTCTGTTATTCATAATTGTTTTAAAGCTTGATATAATTTTTGTTTTACCTCTGTTTAATATAAATCTGCTGGTTTTATCCAGAAAACCTCTATTCCTAAGTTTAGACATTCATAGGGAAAAGATTATATCCCATGGTCTTTATTTTTATATTTTAATTTTGATCTTTTCCCAGAATTTGTTTATTGAATATCTGGTATTATTTTTTTTTGGTTTTTGGTTTTTGGTTTTTGATTTTGGTACCGGGATCTTTTGAACTCGGGACCTAGCACTTGTGAGGCAGGCAGTAGAACCACTGAGCTAAATCCTTGGACCTATCTGGTATTATTTTAAAGAAACATTATATTTGAGCTTTGTAAAATTGCTTGTAGCTATTAGGTATTCATTATTTTCCCAATACATAATGATTTTTTTTTTAATTTCACATCCCGTATGGTTTCAAGTAATTTATATTAAAATGTAATATAATATCAAAATTATATGTATTGGTTCATTATAATAAACTAGGAGACTCTTACTGAAAAATCAGTAAGTTTTGTTTTTTTGTAGTATTCAGTTCACCTCACTCTGAGTCAGCTTTCTCAGTGCTGGGACATAATATCTAACACCCACAACTTAAAAGTGGAGAGGTTTAATTTGTTTTTCTGGTTCAAGGGACACTCAGTCCATGGTCAGCTGCCTCCAGTCCAGAAACATGATGAAAGGGCATGGCAGAGAACACCGATCTCTTTGTGGCAGCCAAAAGCAGAGAGTAGAGAGGACCCCCAGTGACCTACCTCCAACCAGGCCCCATCTGGTAACAGCACTGAACTCATCAGTACACAAATCCAGTGATGAGTATAGTATCCCCATGATGCAGTCACCTTCCAAAACCCCCCACCTCTGAATACTACATGATACTTTGGGGGTACATTTTAGATCTAAACCAAAATACTGATCTTTTAGGGCCTTTTAAGATTCTTGCTATGCTATTCAAATGAATTTTCCTGAATCAGGACAGTCTTCAGTGTCATATTCTCCAGTCAGGCAGGGATTCTTGATTAAAACTTTTCATACCAAGGGCCGAGGATTTAGCTCAGTGGTTCCGCCGCCTGCTTCGCAAGCGCAAGGACCCGAGTTCGATCCCCAGCACCAAAAAAAAAAAAAATTTTTCATACCAAGATATTAATTACTCTGTGATAATGTCGAAGCTTACATTGAAGGATGGATTTCTTACGAAGAGAGCTTCTTAGAGTGGGGATAATTTGCAGCTTTGTCCTTCACAGAATTTTTTTCCCTTAACATTTCTTTTTTACCCCCCTAACATTTCTTTAGACAGGGTTAGAATTCAATGAAGTATATGTATATTTGTACAAAATGAATAACCAATGTGTAGATTACACATAAGCAGTGAAGTGTAGGCATAAATTAGCAGTTTGGCAGGTGTGAGATAAGATTAGAGAACCAGTTGATCTTGCATGGAATAAAATAAATTCCATGGTCAGTGAAAACAATTTTTTTAAGTTTTCACCATTATAAGTAAAAATATGAAATTGTATCTTCTTGAATATTTCATTTTTTGTGATCTGATAGTAAAGCTCTGGTTTTGTTTGTTTTCTCTTTTCCCTTTGTAGAGCAATGATGGAGAAGAACGATTAGCTGTTGTTCGACTTCTAGCTAAATTGTTCGGCTCTAAAGATTCTGATTTGGCAACACAGAATCGACCTCTTTGGCAGTGTTTTCTTGGACGGTAAGGGAAATGAAATTCAGACGTCTATATTTTGGAGAGTAGTTAGTATGGTCCAGCTGATTAAAACTGCATAGCGAAAGTTTTTTGGTTGGTTTTTTTTTTTGCATATCGAAAGTTTAGTAGATATTTGTTGATTTTCTTAGCATCTGTTGCAGTTTTTCTTGTAGAATAAATTGTAGGGCAAAAAAATCTTATTTTGCGGGTATGGTAGCACATGCCTGTAATCCTAGCACTCAGGAGGCTGAGGCAGGAATTTCCATAAATTCGAGTTCAGCCTGGGTTCAAGGTCAGCTTGAACAACGTAGCAAGACCCTGTCTCAAAGAAAAGAGCAGCATAGGATATTGCATTTAAATGGTGGCATAAATAACCTCTTGGCATAAATAGACACCATATCAGGACCTCAGTAAAGCTGTACAGGGATCTAAAATGAGACTGGAGCATGTTTGATCATCAGTATTCATCTTATTTCATAAACATCTTATTTTTCCCCAGTCCTACTTTTTTAAATGTATGTGTAAACATATTTTGATCATATCCACCCCAAATAACGCTCCCTCATTCCCTTCTCGCTCTTAATTACTCTCTAAGAAGTGTTTTGTTGCTTTGCAGTGTAAATAATAGTTTAATTTTTCTCTGGCTGTTAGAAAATGATAAAACCCAAATGTAAGATTTTGTTAAAACATGAAGATTATCTTTGGATAATAAGGTAGATGGCTATAGAGATTAAGACATTTATTAAATAACTTTACTTGGTTATCTTATGAGATAGCTTAAAAAATAAAAATGTTTGGGGCTGGGGATTTAGCTTGGTGGCACCGCGCCGGCTTTGCAAGCACAAGGTACTGAGTTCAATCCCCGGTACCAAAAAAAAAAAACAAATTTGAAAAATAAAAGTGTTTGCTTGTATTTAATATCATATTATTACCTCCACCCTCACCCCTTCTCATGGGGATTGAACCCCAGGACTTGGGTATCCACTCAGCTACACCTGTAGCCCAAAATCACATTATTTATCATTAATAAATATATTTTAAAGGTTGCTCAGTCTATTTTCAATTTTAGTTGTCCACCTTATCCTTATATATGTGGAAGTTGTATTTCATATTAATTGAATTATTGAGTTGTTACAGTAGAACATGTGTATTACTGGGGATGGAACCAGGGTCCTGAGCATATTGGGTAATCACTCTACCACTGAACCACATCCCCCAGCCCTGAAACAGCATTTTAATACAAGTAGGTCCCAGTCTGCTTAAACTTTGGTGATGAGGCAGTGTAACTCACACATTTTATGCAGTTCTCTTTGAACTTCTGTATCTTCTTGTGTTTATTTGCTTTCTACCTCAAATTCCCCAGTGCTTTCCTCTTAAGCTTTTTTTCAAGCAGGTTTCATGTTTTCTGCTTTTTTTGTATCAAATAATAATTAACATCAGGGCTGGGGATTTAGCTCAGTGGTTTCGCCACCTGCCTTGCAAGCATAAGGTCCCGAGTTCGATCCCCAGTACCAAAAAAAAAAAAATTAACATTAAATTTTTAGGTCTATAAAATGGGTAGTTTGAGTTGGGAGATATGTTTATATTGTTTTATGCTTTAGCGTGGTAAACATTTTCTATTTTTCCAAATTTTTTTTAATTCTGTATTTTTTCATTTATTGTACTTTATATTCTTTCATCAGAGCACAGTAAACGTAACACATTTTCTAATCAGTAATTATTGTTTATAATATTTATAATATAGTATTATATGTTATATATTTATAATATATTATTAGGTGTACTTCATTTGAAAATAAATATTTTTCCTTAGAATCAATATTTAGTTATTTTCTTTGTAGATTCAATGACATTCATGTTCCCGTGAGATTAGAAAGTGTGAAATTTGCCAGTCACTGTTTAATGAATCACCCAGATTTAGCAAAGGATCTCACAGGTAAGCTACTTGGTTTATTATGAATGTTAGAGTAATCACACAAATAAACATAAATGTGGCCTGTGACCTCACTTCACATTCTGAATAGGTTTTAACTCTAGTATAATTTCAGATTTTTATTTTTCACGGCTTAGGAAATGATTTCGTATTTATAAAATGAAAGTATATTTGAAGTTTTCGTGTTTTAATCCTTTGGTGTTTTTCAGAAATCCTAATTTGAGAAACTGCAGTATTTATGACATTGTGTTTGGGCACAATTATACCTGTGTAATTTAATACATTAACTTAATAATAAGCAGGAAATTGTCTTCTGGAGTAGATGTTCTCGTTTACCACATGAACCTGGAATATTTAAACCTACTGATTTGATAGTAGCAAATAAGTGGTTTCAATCAAAATATTTTAAAAAGGCAGAAGAAAAAGATTTCTATTTTGTTATATGGTAAAAATTTAGGAATTTTAAAAAAGAGATTATGGACTGTTATTCTGGATTTTATATCATGTAATGATGTAGGTATTATACCTAACAGAATTTTTACTTTTGGGGGGGGGGGTCCCTGGGATTGAACTCAGGAGGACCTTGCTCTTGTGAGGTAGTTGCGGTGCCACTGAGCTAAATTCTTGGCCCCAGAATTTTTACTATTTTTCTTTCTTTTTTTTTTTTTTTTGTTTGGTACCAGGAATCAAACTCGGGTCCTTGTGCTTACCTAGCAGGTGGTAAAACCACTGAGCTAAATCCCCAGCCCCTATTTTTCTTTTTGAAGTCTTTTGATTAAATGAAATTCTAACTGTGACAGATACAATGTTGTGATTCAGCTTTTCCACTAAGATACATAGTTAAAATGTGGTATATAGTAATAAATAGTTTTGTGATTTTATAGAGTACTGTTGTCTTGAAAGTGACTTTAATTTGTAGTGCATGATGGCACAAGCCTATAATCCCAGCACTCATGAGGCTGAGGCAGGAAGATCGCCAGGAGCTTGAGACCAGCCTGAACTATATAGACCCTGTCTCAAAAAAACAACAAAAAATTTAATTCATGACACACTTTGTCATGTTTCAGTGTGTTCAAAAGCTTACACTGTTAATCTTTTCCATTCTAAATTGTGACAAATTACATAGATAATGTTTTTTTCTTATTATAGAATATTTGAAAGTTAGATCACATGACCCAGAAGAAGCTATTCGGCACGATGTCATTGTTACTATAATAACAGCTGCCAAAAGAGACCTTGCCTTAGTAAATGATCAGCTGCTTGGCTTTGTAAGGGAAAGAACACTGGATAAACGGGTAAAATATGGGAAATTTTGTTCTTCCCTAATTTACTGTGTTTAAATTATTTGCTCGATATAATTGGTATAATTTTTATAATAATTATTATTCTATATATCAGTTAAAGCTTTTCTATGGCAATCAGATTAATAACAACCCTAAGTAAAGAGCTACTGATTATTATGTCTATCTTTTAATTATCTTTCTAGAACTCTTCAGATTTTAGGCATGGGTTTGTTTTATAGCATCACATTATAAAAGAACAATAAATTAAACCAAGTTTTACTCTTTTTACACACCTGTTAAGTTTGAAAAGAATAGTAGTCACCTATATTTCTTAGAGTTAACATTTTCATCTGTTACTATCTCATATAACTAAGCCATGTTATTCACTAAACCAAATAGCATAGTTCTAAGGAAATAATGTTTCCATATGTAGTGCCAAGCTACTGGCAGAAATTATTACATATATAATTACTTTTTTGCTGTGTCTTTCGTTTGTGCAGTTAGGAACCTGCATTGGAAGTAATGCTAAGAACAGCAATAGGAATTGCTAGGGAATAGTGATGTCAACCAGAAGCAAGAGACAGGCATGCAAGGCAGATTGATAGACATCTACTTACTGACATCTTTAATAGTAATTATCCTACAGTGTGCTGTTCCATTTGGCATTGTTAACCTTTTGTCCTCTGGTTATGTGTAGTTTAGCTATAATTACAGGTTGGAGAAGCATTTGGTTTTGAAATACAGCAAGAGATAGTTTTTATGTTTCTACTTTAATAGTCATAAAGGGCCAGTGTTTTTTTAAAAATTGTCACTGAGAGGTGGGCACCTGTAATCCCATCTCTCTTGAGACTGAAGCAGGGGGATTGTGAGTTCAAGGCCAGCCTGTACTGTTACAGCAAGACTCTCACTTAAATAGAAAAAAAAAGTTAACCTTATTTTATTTAACTTGTTCAACTGTCAACTGAAGCCCCCCCCAGCTTTAACTTAAATGAAATAAAATTATTCTCTATCTAATGGGTAGTTGGCATTACTTTCTATTCCTCTCATTTAATTTATTGTTACTTATGTAATTTTCCCCTTTTAGAAAAATATCACTCCTTATTAATGTTTCTGTAGTTTCTAAAAGGGTTGAACAACTTCCTAACTTAAACTTCATGATTTGGTTAAAATAACACAGACTGGACATTTGCAGACCTAGATTGGTCTAATTAAGTTAGGTTACATTCTATTTTATTTTATTTTTTGGGTACCAGGGATCAAACTCGGGTTCTTGTGCTTGCTCAGCAGGCAACAAAACCACTGAGCTAAATCCCTGGCCCATAGGTTACATTCTTTAACATTTGTTTTCTCCTGTGTAAAAGGTGGGAAATTATTCTCAGCTTTCATCGCACACCTTTTTATTTCATGTGAGAGATGTCAAAAGGCACTTACAAGCTGATATATAGAAACATAGTTTCATTGTATTTACTAAGTAGTACCTTAAATTGTTATTACTCTTGTTCTTACAGCCTGTCATGGTCTTCGCTGTAGATTTTTATAGTCTCTTCTGTTTCACCTTCCTCCTACCACCACTCTTTCCTTCCCTAGTATAATAATCCTACCAGCTAACCTCTAGAAGTCCAAATGTCTTGTACTAATAGGTTTCTAGGTAAATTAATTGCCCTTTACATCTACAGAGTAAAGAAGTTCACTTATGGTTATCACTAAAGTTCTTTCCAGATTTGCAGCCCTGGAAGTCTTAGTCCTAGACGTGGTTGTTCTTACTCTGGGTTAACATCAAAGGACATGTACTTGGAATCTAAAACATTCTAGAACCTAGGGCTTTTGTTTGCCGAGTAAATTGCGCATTTTGTGTTTTATATTTAATCACTTCTAAAACCAGGCCAATATGTTTATAGAAAGAATCAAATGAAATCTTCCATAAGGTATTATTTGGCTTCGGGAGAAATGAAAAATTGGTAAGTCATTAAGAAGTATTTGCAAAAAAAAAAAAAGTATTTGCACTGAAAAATTTCTGAAGTAATCTGATTTCTAAATAGGGACAGATTCATAATGGTTGTTAAATTCTCACTTGAAATGAAATGTGGTGATATATATATATTTACTTACTTAAAATTGATTATTTTTGCTGGGCTGGGTGGCACATGCCTGTAATCCCAGCTCTCAGGAGGCAGAGCCAGGAATATCGCTATGAGTTCGAGGTTTGCCTGAACTACATAGTTCAAGGCCAGCCTGAACGACATAGTAAGACCCTGTCTCAAAAAAATAAATTAAAAAATAAAATTGATTGTTTTGGCTGATAAATACACATCTAATAAATATTATACTTTTTAGTGGCGAGTAAGAAAAGAAGCTATGATGGGCTTGGCTCAGCTTTATAAGAAATACTGTCTTCATGGTGAAGCAGGAAAGGAAGCTGCAGAGAAAGTCAGCTGGATAAAGGATAAACTTTTGCATATTTATTATCAGAATAGCATCGATGACAAGTGAGTCTAATGTGCGGGTAGAAAGGGTAAATGTAAAACTGCTTTTCATTTTAAAATATTTATTTCTGTTAAATTTTAAAATAATTTCCAAATTTAGAAGTCGTTTTTTGAATATTTGTGTATACCTTCTTTTATAGAAGACTCTACCCAAAATTGTAAGGTAGAAAATAGTGAAATAAGCATGGACTTTGGAATTAGGCAGACTGAGACCCATCATTCACTCTGTCCTGGATGATTTCACTTCTCTACACCTCTATTTTACATGAAAAGGAATAATACTCTCCTCATAGGATTGTCTTGTGGATTAAATAAAATAATGAGGGGCCGAGAATTTAGCTCAGTGGTTCTGCTGCCTGCTCGCAAGCACAAGGACCTGAGTTGGATCCCTGGTACTAAAAATAAATAAATAAAATAAAATAATGAATATAAGGCATCTTGACACTCTGCCTGCAATAGTGCAGTACTGGATAACTCCTGATAATTAAGTCTTCCCTTTTTGCAATGCCATCCCTACCCAAGGAAAAATTACTAAGTTCTATTCATCCCTCCACCCCCACCTCTACCCCCTACCCCCACCCCACCCCCGGGGATAAAATTCAGGACCTTGAGCTTGCAAGGCAGGCTTGGCGCCACTGAACTAAATCCCCCCAGCCCTCCATTTTCTTAATGCTACTTATTATTCTGTGTTTGCATTATACTAATAATACTTGGCTTTTATAAAATACTTTGCAGTGTTTTATTACATTTGAGTGGCTGCTTGACCGTCAGCAGATGTTATTTTATTGGTTAATGAAAAGCTCTTACGTTTTTTTATCCCAGTAATACTCAATAATAGATAAAATCTTAGCAAGAAGGATTCGGATTCTAATATTGATAAGGAAGTAAGATACTAGAGAGAAGCAAAATCAAATGTTTATGTTTCCAGGAAGTAGTATGAAGGAAGATCTTCCTGTTTACTACATGGCAACATAGTAAAGGAGCCGAACTGTAATCAGAAGAGGTTATTGGCCTGCCTCGCAAGCGCAAGTTCCTGAATTCAATCCCCGGTACCAAAAAAACACAAACAAACAAAAAACCATAAGAGATTATTGAGTTTCTTGAGATTTAGCTGTACTTAGAATTGTAACTTTACAGTATATGTATAGTTAACTAATTTGTGATAAGTTCACAAACTACTGAAGAATAGGTAAAATGGCCTAAGTGTTTCATAATGACAGATTATGAAGTAAAGTCGCAAGAAGAAACTGTCTCTCTAAATTTAAAAATAACTGCATTAATCTTCCAAGGATAGGACTGATCATATACTGGTGTTTTCCATTGGGTGCATAGCTGTCACAATTTATATGATATCTTTGCACAAAATGATTTAAATGACTGTTGTTTCTTTAAAATAGAATACTTATGGGTTGTTGTGTTTTTTTTTTTAATAGACTGTTGGTAGAGAAAATCTTTGCTCAGTATCTTGTGCCCCACAACCTGGAAACAGAAGAGAGAATGAAATGTTTGTATTACTTGTATGCTAGTTTGGATCCAAATGCTGTAAAGTAAGTTACTATTCAAATGACTGAATTATTTCCTAAAGATTTCATAAAAGTACTTCATCTTATCTAGTAATTATTGATGAGTTTGTTGCTGCTTCTTTTGAATCAAAAAACTAAGGTAAATATTGTGGAGAAAAGTACTATGATTTAAATTCAGATCAATCAACAGCAAAGATATTGTATACATAGACATATTTGGCACCTGGGTTGGTAATATGGTTTCGAAGATTGAAAAGTCCCCAAATACTATACCGAATGTCTTAACTGGAACTGTCCTAGGTCAGCCAGCTTGTGTGATCACTCTAATAGGCTTTTTAAAAGTGTCACGGTGGGTATTACAATCATATTGCACACTCAAATATAAACAATTTATATTTGTAAATTACAGATACACAAAGTTAATGAATCTGTCATTAAGAACTTTGAATTTTTTGAGTTAGGACTTAAGCTATACATATACACACACAAGTTAAACATAAGTTTATAAAACAGTTTTCTTATAGTTTCAAAATTATAGAAAAATTGCAGGAGCAGTATGAAACATTGTGCCATCTCCCTTTACCCTGATCCATTTTCAGCCATTTGATATTTTTTGGTTTGGTTTTTTTTTTTGGTACCAGGGATCGAACTCGGGACCTTGTGCTTGTGAGGCAGGCGCTGGAACCACTGAGCTAAATCCCCGGCCCTGTCATTTGATATTTTTACATTCTTTCTTATTATCTATGCACGCAATTTGTTCTTAATAATTTGCAGACTTGTGGATCCTTTTACTTGTAAAATTAATACCAATAAAGTATTTTGTCTAATTGAGTATGTTTTCATATTTTCTCAATTGTCCATATCATGTTTTTAATGGATATTTCCCCCATCCAGGATTTTATATTACATATTTAGTTGTATTTCTGGTCTCTTAATCGACTGGTTAATCTTTGGGTTTTTTGACTTTGATTTTTTTGGGAAGAATAGTGCATGAGCTATTTTGTATAATGTTGCCTTATTTTTGTATCTTCTAATGTTTCCTCATTATCAGACTAAGATCATGCATTTTTATAAAAATTCTGTGAAGGTAATGTATCCTTGAGCCATCTTATCAGGAGGCATTAACCATCATTTTTTTCTTTTTGGTACGGGGGATCAAACTCTGGTCCTTGCGCTTGCACAGCAGGCGGTGAAACCACTGAGCTAAATCTTGGGCCCCAAAAGTTACATGGTGGGTTTTTTTTTAATTTTAATTTTTTGGTACCGGGAATCAAACTCAGGACCTTGTGGTTTCGAGGCACTGAGCTAAATCCCCGGCCCTAAAACCATACCCATAGAAATACCAGGGAGATTCTATGGCTGGTATTCTAGCTAAGCCTGCCATCCATTTTACTGGCCCATCAAGTAAGTTGGGTTTTTTTTTTGGTACTAGAGATCGAACTCAGGATCTTGCGCTTGCAGGGCAGGTAGCAGACCATCATTCTTTAAAAACTTTACAGACACGGCTGTGGATGTAGCTTAGTGGTGCCACACCTGCCTGGCAAGTGCAAAGTCCTGAGTTTGTTCCCTGGTAAGGGGGTGGGAGGTTTTTATAAGCAGTCACTAATACTTATGCCAAGTGGAGAAATCCTGCCCTAAAGTTTTAACATCTTATATTTCTAAGTATCTATCCAAAGGTACTCAGAAGTAGAGTAATTCTCAGAGAAGCTATGGGCACCTGAAAGCATGATGGAATTTATGTGAGAGCAAAGTCTGTTTTATGGAAAGAGAAGAGTATAGTATAAACAGTCAATTTAAACTTGTCATCTTGAATCTGTGTCAGACCTAAAGTATCGCATATAGATTCCTTAGCCATATTCAAAAAGCCTTTGTCATCTACTTCTCTATACCTTCATTATAATCTCATACTCTGTACGCATCCAAGCGTATAAATGTTTTTGAGTTTCCTATATGTGCCATGCACTTGGACATTTTATCTTTCCTTGAACTAGTACTTTCTACCTCTGTTTCAAATATCTTTCAGTTTCTTTATTTACCTAGAAAGATGTATTGATCCTTCTGAGCTCAGATACATATTTCCTCTGAAAGGTAGAGCACTTGCTTTGCTTAGCATATGAGCCCCTGGAATCGTCCTTATGAGAAGACATTTGCCATTTACACTAGATATCTTAAATCTCAATGACTAGTTACTTAAATTTTTATGTAGATGTAGAAAAATATGTATGTAAACCATGCACGAAGAAAAGTAAAGGTAAATAATTGGGAGTATTGTTAAATAATGCGTTTTTTCTTATTCATAAATTTTACAGAGCTCTCAATGAAATGTGGAAGTGTCAGAACATGCTTCGGAGTCATGTACGTGAGCTATTGGATTTGCACAAGCAGCCTACAGTAGGTTCATAATTTATTTAAATTAATAAACTATCATTTGTGAATTATTTGTTTACTTTTTCTGTAGTATTATATAATTAAGCAAGGAAAAGTATCTCAGATTTCTTTTCTTTTCTTTTCTTTTTTTTTTTTTTTTGGTGCTAGGGATCTAACTTGGGCCCTTGTGTTTGCGAGGCAGGTTGCAGCATCACTGAGCTTACATCCCCAGCCCTATCTCACGTGCCAGTTAAATATAATTTTTGTAATTGTCCAAGCAAAATTTTCATATTAAATGAATATAATAAACTCATATTTTCTGGCATGGACAAAGAAATGGTGATTTCTTATTTATCAAGTATGTATGTTTGTATTTATTAGTTTGGTATTGGATATTGGACCTAGGGCCTTTTGCATGATAAGTGCACACTCTACCACTGAGCAATATCCGCAGGCCTGTCACGTTTTTAAATACTAAAAGTTTGTACATAGTTTTTAAATTTTCAAATAGTTAGAATCAGATATCAACAAGTTATGTTTGTGTGTCTCTCCCTCTCTCTCCCTCTCTCCCTCTCTCTCTCTCTATCTATCTCTATCTCTGAGACATTCTCACTGTTTTCCAGACTGGCCTTCAACTATGTATCCCAGGCTGGCCTTGAACTCTCAGCAATCCTCCTGCCTTGGTCTCCCCTCGCTGGGACTATGGGCATGTGCCACCACGCCAGGCTAGAAGTCTTTTTTTTTTTTTAACTGCGTAATTCTTATTCTATCAGTGTAGAGTTGATATTATCAATGCTATTATATCAATGTCAAAATAATAAATTTTACTCAAGTTTTCTGAAAGGCAAAGAGGAAAACTTAAAGTATCTTAATATGAGATTTTGCTTTGGGTTGGGTTGTTTTATTTTGTTTGAGATGGTGTCTTCCTATGTTGCTCAGGCTGGCCTCAAACTTGTGATCCTACCACATTAGTCTTCCAAGTAGCTAGGATTTTAATGGATCTTTACATGTGTTTGCTAGCTATGGGTATTTTGGGCCAGGAGACAACAAGCAAACCCTTCAAGGGCCCATGGATGCTAGAGCAGAGGCTGGCAAACTTTTTGTAAGTAGCCATTTAATAAAAACTTAGTTTTTGCCACCTATGCAATCTGTTTAGCTACTCAACTCTGCCTTGATGTACAAAAGCTGTCATAGATGATGCATAAATTAATGAGCATGACTGTTTTCCAGCAAGTTTATCAACAAAGACAAACTACACATTGGGATCACCTTTGGGGATTACCAACTTCTTATCCATATTATTTCCAATTTAATGTAAACTAAGCTAACAAAAATGGATTTTTTTGTGCGGTGGTGGGAAGCTTTGAAAATAGTTTTTAGAGGGGAGATTATTCTCATTTATGAGACAGATGTCAATCTTTGCTTAGGCTGCCTCTGAACTCCTTGGCCCAAGTTATCTTCCTGCCTCAGCTACTCTTAATTTTTTAATATCTTCTAGTAATATCTCTTTTCTTTGTATTTGCTTAACTTAATCATTGCTTCTCCACAGTTCTTTGCTGTCAAGTTTACGTATAGATATAGCAAGCCATTTTCCCTTGGGTAAATTGTGATGAACTGTGAAACATATACAATGATGAGCACTGATTTTTCTTAACAGCATATTCATTAGTATGTATGACTTCTTGTTTTATTTCTGTTTCAAATTTCAGTCAGAGGCTAACTGTTCTGCCATGTTTGGAAAACTGATGACCATAGCAAGTGAGTATGTTTATTCACCCAGTAAACATAATAAACATCAAAAGGGACCATTTATTTACCCAATGCTAAGAAAAATAATCCTTAATATTATTTCTAATAACAAGTTTCTAATTTTTTTTAATGGCACTGCAATTTTAAGACATTTAGTTTTTACTTTCATAGTTCTCTTCCTGTTACTGATTCATTTTTAATTTTGTAGAGAATTTGCCTGATCCTGGCAAAGCACAAGATTTTGTGAAGAAATTTAACCAGGTTCTTGGTGATGATGAGAAACTACGGTCTCAGTTGGAGTTATTAATCAGCCCTACTTGTTCATGCAAACAGGCAGACATTTGTGTGGTTAGTACATTATATTTTTATATTTGTTCTCCTACCTTATTTGCAGAAATCTATATTTATTTAGAGCCTTTTTGCATACAGTGATTTTTGTGAATTTAATATTATAAGCACTGAATTACTTAGCATTATATCTGTGGTCAATTTAATTCTTTTTATGACTCCCTACTATCCAGTCATAGTCCAGGAAAAAATTAGAGATGTAAGTCAGAGAGATTGGTCCTAGGAATTAAGTAAGACAGATTACTTCATATTTAGTAGTCATTCAGTGAATAAATAGTAATAGTTTTTTAAACGCTGTATATGTGTGAATCTACTTCTCTGTTGGCAAGGAAACAACCTGTCCTTATATCAGCAATAGAAATGTCATATATGTGCTTTCATTTATTGATAGGCTAAATTCCTAGGTAGACTTGTGTCTTCGTTCTATTTTTGGTTTTTTGGGGTTTTTTTTCAGTACTGGGGATCAAACCCCAGGACCTTGCGCTTGCCAGACAGGTGTGGCACCACTGAGCTACATCCCCAGCTCTTCATTCTACTTTTGAACTCTTTTATAGAGAACTAGTAGCATTGAAACTTATCTGGAAAGAAAACTTCATATGTTCATTTATTCATCATTTTATGAACCAGAGCATAGGTTTAAATTTTAACTGTATTTTCACTAGTGTTACGGTCCTTAGTAAGTCACTCAGCTTTGCTGTGCTTCATTTTATTGATCTACAAATATGAACCTCTAGGATTTCCAAGAGAATAATATACTATGACATTTTACATATGGTTAATACAGGGCCCTCTTCATTGCCCCCCTATAGATTTAAATAACTGATACATTTTTTTTAATAATGGATAATTCTTATTGTTTTACATATACATAACAAGCAGTAGGAATCCACGTTGTGGATAATTTACAGTATTCATTTTTGTTTTTGTTTTTTTGGTAAAGGGGGTAGAACCGAGAGCCTTATACATCCTAGGCAAGTATTCTACCACTGAGCTACACCCCAGCCCTAGGCATACTGTTAAAATACATTGTATGCTTTAGAATGTGCATTATACATTGTTTCTCACCTTGCTTCCAGGTAACATGACAGAGGTGGGCAAATAAATATTTCAGTAAAGAATATAATGTGCTTAGTGTTGCTCTAGAGTCATGTGTTTTGGTCACACAGAGGAGCACCACTCACCCCTGGTGGGGGTGGGAATGGGTGAAGGAATAAGTGATTCCTGACTTGAGTCCTAAGGGTTAAGTAGGAATTAGATGACTGTGTCAATAGTGGCGACTGCCTTTCTAGTTTGGCTGGTGGCTAGATAACAGATGAGATACTACAGAAAATAAAAGAAAACTGTGTGTGAACTCTCAGCCGTTGTATTTAGAAGTCTGAGATTCAGGTCTTGTTGCTGTATATTAGCACAGTTATATCTCCTGGAGAAGTTTAACTCCCCGTAGGAATTGGTTGGCAATGAAAAAAAGACATTAAAAAGAATATACACATGCAAGTAAACCATTACTAATAAAAACAAAAAGAATATGGCAGTGTCTTCTGTGTATGTGAAAGGATACTTTAAAAATTGTATACTTTTGGGCCAGGGATTTAGCTAAGTAGTTCTGCTGTAGTTCTGCTGCCTGCCTCGCAAGCACAAGGACCCGAGTTCGATCCCCGGTACCAAAAAAAAAAAAATTGAATACTTTTGAGGTGGGCAGGAGGCACACTGCATGTTTGTGGGAAGCCTACACTGCATACCAAGACTCCGACTCTTTCTCTCTCTCTCTCTCTCTCAAAAAAGAAATTTGTACAAAGAGCTAAGGGATGTAAGGATGAACCTTTTTTTTTTTTTTTTTTTTTTTTGGTACCAGGTAGCGGAACCACTGAGCTAAATCCCTGAACCTCTCAGGTGTTCTTCTGTTATAAGATTTGTGTGGGTTGTTAAAACTCTTTTCTAGTATTCTTTATTTATTTATTTTCTAGTATTATTGTTATATACATAGGTTTATTTCATATACTTCTGTTAGTGTTACACAAGTATCTTTCCTAGTTTTTGGATTTATTACTAAATTATTTTGAGTTTGCCTAGCAATTTTCCAGTAGTCATTTTTCTTGTTAAATGATCTCTGACATACTTAGGTAAAAAACAACTAAATTTTATGGCAGAGGAGAAAATACCTTTTTTGGAATACCTCACCAAATAAGACGAAGTTCAAAGAATTGTACAGTATTGAAATTCAGATTTAAAATGTGAACCCATAGCTTAGCACAAAATGTATAAGGCTTAGGCTGAATAAAATGTTTTATTTTTCAAATGCATTATAAAGTAAATCAGGCCTTCTAATGACTAGTTTTCCTCAGGATCTCAATTACTTGGGCTTATACTCAGATAACAAATATTGATATCAAGTTGAATATGACTATAATTTATATCAAGATGTCAATAATAGAGATCTTTTTCTCCTTTTCTGCTTTGTCTTCATATCCATAATGTATTGCTGTAGTACAAAAGCTTTTGAATAGGATGGTTAAAAAAATAATTTTAAAAAAGTGAAAATAAATAGGATGGTTACAATTTGTTGGTACATTGTAGTTTAGTAAACACATACCATGTGCATTTTATGGTCGCCCTCAATGGTATATACCTGTAAACCCAGGTATTTGGGAGGCTGAGGCAAGAGGATCTCATTTCAGGCTGGCCTTATCAACATAAGACTCCCATCTCAAAAAATAAAAATCAAAAAGGAAGAAGGATGATTGGTGTGTATTATCTCCTCAGCTAAAATACACATTTCACTCATCAGAAGCATTCACTTAAAAGCACTTCCCCAACCCCTACCTTCCTCTATCCCCCCCCTTGCTTTCGATGAACTCTGGCATTCTAGGCAAGTGTTCTACCCGAAAACTTTGTTCTTGTTTTGTTTTTGTTTTTTGTTACGGGGGATCTAACTCGGGACCTTGTGATTACGAAGCAGGTGGCGGAACCACTGACCTAAATCCCTGGCCCTGGAAAACTTTGTTCTTAAAAGTTAATTTCTTTTCAAGTACTCAACATATTTTAAATTCTTTCAGGAAGTCAGTCTCTATAATTAATTCCTTATCTTTAGAAACTTCCACCTAGAAGTAGGTGGCATTTTTATTTGATGTAATGCCACCATGTTTCATCATTGATTGAGACAGTTACTTTTATATTTAGATGGATCACATGGCCTGAAATAATTCTATCCTCAGTTATAAGTAAAATTGTAGAGGAGTGTATGGTTCTTACTTGTCCTTCATCGATGTTCTTTATAAATCTTTACAAATATTTATTCACTGAGAATATCTCCTCAAACTCTCCTCTGCCCTCTGCCACCCCCCACACAGAGACTTTCTCCGGGTCTCACTATCTCAGGTTGTCCCACCTGATCTTAAACTCTTAATCCACCTGCCTCTGTCTCCCAAATAGCTGGAACTAGTGGTTCATGCCACAATGCCTGGCTGGGTAGCCCCCCCCTTTTTTCAAGAAAGCGAGTAACTGAAAGAAAGTACAATATTTGATCAAATTATAAATTAATTTATAAAATAGTAAAACATACCCACAAAGGTACAAACTGTTACTCTGTTTTTCTTTTTTGTTTGTTTGTTTGTTTTGGGTACTGGGGATCAAACTCAAGACCTTTCACTTGTGAGGCAGGCATGGCGCCACTGAGCTAAATCCCCAGCCCTGTTTGTTTTATGAGACAGGGTCTCGCTTTGTAGTTCAGGCTGTCCCTGAACTCACTGTGTACCCCAGGCTGGCCTCGAACTAATAGCAATCCTCCTGCCTCTACCTCCCAAGTCCTGGGATTACAGACATGTGCCGCCACACCTAGCTATTGTGTTTTTCAAACATAGAGCATTAAAAAGAGTTGTTATATTAAACAATAATTAATGGGAGAATTATAGGCAAGTAGAGATCACAGAGAAACCACATCATCCCCTTCTGTCTTCCACTATCCATATTTTGTAGTGATTACTCATTGAGTCTATAGTCAGGTCTGAAACAGAAAATGTTTCTTATGCCTACAGTCATTTTTATTTTGAATGACAGTAAATCATACTTATGGTAAAACTTTTTTTTCTATAGAGAGAAATAGCTCGGAAACTTGCTAATCCTAAGCAACCAACAAATCCTTTTCTAGAGATGGTCAAATTTCTGTTGGAAAGAATTGCACCTGTGCACATTGATTCAGAAGCCATAAGGTAAGCTGGAAGGTTATATGCACTAAAAATAGGTTATAATCCTAAAATTCAATGTTGTAAGCTTAAATTTTGGGCCCTACACATACATTAAAGCAGTCCTTGTATTAATGCCAGAAGCATACATCATTGAAGCTGAAGAAAAGCCTGTTCATTTTATGATCTTTCTCTTTATTTAATAAAGAGTTCTAGTGATTATTTTTAGTCTACATATACTCAGTAAAGTAAACCGAGAACAGAGAAATGTAGAAATTTTCAGGCCTATATGCCTATCAACCAACCTACATTTTCTTAAGTGTTTTAATGTCCACATAGTATTCTGTTTATTTTACCACTGTTTGCTTGATGGACAAACCCAAGAATGGTGTATCCACAAGAGGTCCAGGGTTACCATTAAACAAATCTAGTTACAAAACAAGACTTTATTTTAGAGATGGGGATTTAGCTCAGTGGTTTCGCCGCCTGCTGCGCAAGCTCAAGGACCTGAGTTCAATCCCTGGTACCAAAAAAAAAGAATGAGCTATTTTGTGGCACTGGAATAGCCCTCTAATTTCTTAGAGTTCTTATATGCATATGACATCTCCTTGTTGGATGATTTTGAGAATTAGAGCTAAAAGTAAGTAAACTGGGATCTGAGACACTAATGGATACCTAATTAAATATTCCCATAATTTCTGACATTTTAGTTGTTTCTAATGATTTCTTTTTGTAAAATTTTGTGAAGGCTTTTCTCTTTCATTAATCACTTTTCCAGTATCTAGGTATCTCCTTCCCATTTGGGTACTATCTAGCACTTTTTTTCCCCCTCTAACATCCACGTTTGGAGGCCTGGTTCTAGTGCCCAAGCACTGCTATGGCTGTATTGAAATGCTGAGTTAATGTGTGTTAGTATAGGAGAGCTGCCATGATATCACAAACCGGGCAGGTTAAACAATGGGCATGTTTTTGTCATATTTGTAGAGGTTAGACATCTGATATTAAGATGTCTGAAGTTTGATTTGTTCTGAAGCCTCTCTCCTTGGCTTACAGACTAAGGAACTATAGTTTTGAGGAAATAAGTGGTTTGTTCACAGGTGGTTATATCCAAAACCATAATGTAATTAGGTATTATTTTCCATGTCAGTGTCCTTTATTCTGTACCATTTTATTTTGTGCGTTTGCGTGTGCGTGCACTCAAATTGAACCCTGGGCCTCACACATGCTGAGGGTGCCCACTACCATTGAGCTATACCTCCATCCTTGTATCATTTGATTTTAATGGGCTATCAAAGATATGATTTCATAGAAATAAGCACTGTTACTACACATACTTGTTTTTTTTTTTGGTACTGGGCATTGAACTTGGGACCTTGCACTTGCAAGGCAGACGCCAGAACCACTGAGCTAAATTCCCAGCCCTATACATACTAATTTTGAAATACATGTGTAATTGCATTAGGAAAGCATGGCCTCAATGAGGCTTCAGCAGGGTTTTATTACTTCAGTAAATTATAATAAGCTGTTGTTTGATCTCCAACTTTAAAACACCAAAAACTTAATTTATACAGTAGCATCATGAGCTGTTTGAACTATGATTTTTTTAAAAGAATGATTTCACCAGAATGCTAGTATGTTAATTTTAATATTGCTTCCATGTAGCCTAATCTTTATGGAATATTAAATTAAAAATAGAGGGTTTTACAGATTGCTTTTTTTGGAGAAGCAATTTATAAAATACATTGAGTAACTGGGCAAGAATATACAACCTAAGTTGTGTACAGTAGATTCGTTGTTAGAGAATCCCCCAGAAATAGGTGGCATAACTACTGGATAGTATAAGAATGTAGGAATTAACCGGGAGTGGTGACACAGGCCTGGGATCTCAGCACTGTGGGCAACTGAGGCAGGAGGATCACCAGAAGTTCAACCAGCTTGGGCTACATAATGAGTTCAAGGCCAGCCTGAACTACAAAGTGTGATGCTGTCTCAAAAAAAAAAAGAATGTAGGGATTAGCCACATGAGAGGTGAAAGGGACATGGTAAATATAGGCTGTCATTAGCCCTTTGTGTGTGGGTTATTTAAGGTACTGTGAGATTCTCTTTCTTTAGGGGCAGTAAGCCAAAGTGGTAGCATCTGCATGTAATATCAGCTACTCAGAAGGACCAAAAGTTCAAGGCTAGCTCGGACAACATAGCAAGACTCTGTCTCAAAATAAATATGAAAAGGGATGTGAATTAGCTCAACACTCCCTGCCTTCAAAATCAAATACTGTAATCAATGAACAACATAAAATAAGGACAAGAATAATTACTATTTACTGTTTTTGAAAGGCTTATACATAAAATACATTAAAAAAGTAGAACATACTGCCTTACACATATTATGTACTGAAGAAATGTTGGTAGCTACCTACAGCAGACACAAAAGAACAAAAGCAGGAAGAATTAATAAATATTTAGATGGGATAGAGATGTAGTTCAGTGATAGTGTATCCTTACCATGCATGAGGCCTTGGGTTTGATTCATGTCACCATATAAAAAGACAGAAAAGAAAGAAATATTTAGAAATTGCCTGTACTTCTGCCATAATTCAGAATTTTGAAAGAAAAAGTTGATAGGAGGGCCGGGGATTTAGCTCAGTGGTTTTGCCACCTGCTGCGCAAGCACAAGGACCCGAGTTCGATCCCTGGTACCAAAAAAAAAAGTTGAGAGGAGTAGAAAATTATCCAAAATAAAACCATTTTTGTTTGTTCTTTAGCATGTTTTCTGTGGACATAGGTCTATACAGATACAAATACTATAGTTAGTATATGCTTTGTAGATAGTAGTTGAAAAGTAGTTATTGCGATAGTAGTCAGAACGCAGAAAAGTGGATTTTTTTTTAATTGAGTGCTGAATCCTAAGGAAAAATAAGGGGGCTTGCAGCAAATAAATTCATTAAATTAAAAAACGTTTTAAAGATACATGGTCAACAATAGAAAAATCAGACGAGTAATATCACAAATACCAAAGAGACAAAAAAGTAGCATGGTGGGAGGGTACCCAGAAGTTAAATTAGTTTAGAACTAAAAAGCATCAAATGGAATTAGGAAAAGGAAAGAAAAAATTCAATGGCCAAAACAATTCTCTTGGGACATCAAAGGCAAATCCAGAGTTTTGAGGATCCAGAAAGGCCTAGAACAGGCTATTATCTGCATTGCGGTACACACAGCAAATGAGAGTATCTGAGCAGAGTAAATTGCACAGGCCTAGTGTTAGTTAACTGGCCCAGCTCACCAGGATCCCACTAAGTCCCACTTGACTACCTTGAGGTTTGAGATTACAAGCATATACTAATACCAGAATTTTTACCAGCATTCCTTCTAGTTCACTGCCAGTAAACAATTATTTAAGGGATATTTTGTCACAGTTCTAAACTGCTTTTTTTCATGAATTGGGATGTGGGGACAACCAATGTAGAAAGTCACAAAAAGTAAAAGAGAAAAATGAGATGATGGCAAAAGAATAATTTTGAAGAAGAGTCTTAATGTTTTTAGTGAAAGAATTTTGAACATTCATATACATTTGGAGTTGGCCCTGTTGCTGGTGCATGCCTGTAGACCCAGCACTTGAAAAGCTTAGGCAGCTGGACCCCCTAAGTCCCAAGAGATGGAGACCAGCCGGGCAACATAACAAGACCCCATTTCCACAAAACAAACAGAACAAATGCATTTGAAAAGTACCAAAAGAAGAAAAATTAAAGAAGAGAGGAGGGAACATAACTGGTTGTTTTTTGTTGTTGTTTTTGGTACCGGGGATGGAACTCGGGACCTTGCGCTTGTGCGGCAGGTGCCAGAACCACTGAGCTAAATCCCTGGCCCGGAACATAACTGTTATAGAGCATCTTTCCTAAGAAAGAGGAGCAGGAAGAACATCTTCTCCCATGACATAATCAAAATAATAGGTGCACATTAGATGAGATCAGAAGATAAATTATAGAAGTTTCCACCCAAGGCCTCCACTATTCTCCATTATGTTAAAGGTGAGGTGTCTGCTCAGGGGAGGGATTTATATCCAAGTTAGAATGGTGAAGATCTGTTAAAATTTGTAGTACAGGAGAGAAAAGCAATTTTGAGGAGGCAGTTGATTGATAATGGTCTTGGGCCTCATAATATACCTATAAAATGTATGGAATATATATTATTTATCTAATTTGTAAATGAGGAAAAATATCTCCATAAAATGACGGACTATAATACTAGTTTCAAGAATTGAGTCCTGGTGGCGCACATCTATAATACCTGCACTCAGGAGGCTGAGGCAGGAGGATCACCACAAGTTTGAGGCCAGCTTGAACTACATAGTGAGACCCTATCTCAAAAAAACCAAAGCTTTTATACATAGGGGAGGGGGGATTGGAATGTAATTTAAATTTATTTAAAAAAAAAAAAAAAGAATTGAGTCCTGGGGAGGCTGAGGCAGGAGGATCACAAAGCCAGCCTGGGCTACAAAGTGAGTTCAAGGCCAACGTGAACTGCTTAGCAAAGCCTCACCTCAAAAAGACCAAAAAAAAAAGAATTGAGTCTTATTGCTCCTGAGTGAGTGGTGATTAGAAAATCACAGTGAAAGCTGAGAGAATGTTTGATTTGTTTTGCACTGTTATTTCCAGAACAGACCATGAGCCTTTGTATGTGATAGGTTGTCAATAAGCAATTTTTTTTCCCCAGTATCAGGGATCGAACTCAGGACCTTGCACTTGCAAGGCAGGCACGGTGCCACTGAGCTAAGTCCCTGGCCCTATAAACATTTATTTTAAAATATGTGCAAAAAAACCTATTGCAAGTGGTTAGATTTGTAAATTCTTTCAAACACTTCAAATCTTTAATTCATGCATAATTTATAATAGGATTTTCTCCTAATAAGCTAAATTCATGATGTTATTCACAAATTAGGAAAGTCATGCTAAAGATCTGGAGAAAATACTTGCAAGACATATGTCTATATAAAGAATTCTTACTACTCAATAATGAGAGAAATAATCCAATTTTAAAATGGTAAGAAGATTTGAACAGACACTTCACCAATAAGATATACAAGTGTTTAAAATGCGTATGCAAGAAAAGACAGTACTATTACACATTAGGAAAATCCAAATTCAAATTAAAATGAGAAATACCATTACACACTCGAACTATGACTTAAATTAATGATTCTGACCATACCAAGTATTGGTGAGGTAGAAAATAGTTTCTTGTAATATTAAATATATGTATAAGATATAATAAAAATACACAGTGAATGTTCAGATTTTTAAAAATTAACAGTAAATACTTGACATCCTCAGAATACTATTCATTCATACCACTTTCTAAAATAGTTCTGGAAGTCCTTTTTCGTGAATATCTTTACAAAGTATGATTGTAAAATGTGAATACTGCTGCTGAATACCACCCAACAAAAGGCAGGCTTATCAGTACATTAAAGTGTGTAATGTATCTATCTAATTCAGCAGATTGGGCATCATATGACTTCTGGCCCTTACAGAAGACTGTGAAAGGGAAGTTTTGAATTAGTTCAGGACATCAAGGTAGCCATAGCAGTGCAACTAAGTTAGACGCAAAAGTGAACTTTCAGAATTGCTTCAGAAAATAGCAAGTACGATGGGATAAATGTGTTTCAAGCAAGTGGGAATATTTTGAAATGGATTAATGACAGTATGTCTTACGGTAATAAATTTTTTAAAGATTTAAATATTCACTGTTTTTTTTTTTTATCATACCTTGTATAATATCACCATTCCAGCCCAGGAATCTCAACAATATATATTTGCCTAAGAGGAAAAGAAAAGTATTCCAATAGAGGCTAGTACCTAACTGCTTTTAGTAGGTTGTCATAATACAGTGATACTCGGTTGTCGAACATCTCCACGCCCAAACTTTCCACTACTTTAACAGCAAAATTCAAAAAACAAATCAGCTCAGTGTTTGTAATTTTGCTCTGGCATCAAACCAAAAATCCAACTTGAAAAATCTGTGTGGGCCAAGAGTAAGTCACGCATTACGTCTCACCGCAGACACAAAGGGATGATGTTTCAGTCTAAGCTTTGTTCTTGCAAAGACTACGTGTAGTGCTTGTGTTAGTACATTAAAGCATTCATCATTGTGCTTTTTTTTTTTTACTTCATTTATGTAAAATATCACAACCATGAATGGCTCCAAAGAAAGTGATACTAGCAGTAAAGCTGAGAGGAAACTGAACTGAGAATCACAATAGAGTTAAAGAAAGAAGTCATTGTGAAATTTGATAAAGTTCCAGAAAAATGAATTTATAAGTGTAGGTTTTGGGCCTGAGAACGAATTATTTGGTTTTCCATTGTATGGGAAAAATATGTTCCGCTTTCAAACTTTTCCATGTTTGAGCACAAATTTGGTATGAATTGAGTTCAACAACCATGGTATCTGTTGCTACATCTGTAAACTAGAAATATCCAGAAGTCTATCAGTTGGGAGTTGATAAACATTGTGGTACATCCATGCAATGGAATGCCAAGCAAGCAAAGTTACAAACTGCTGATTACACAGCAGTATGAATAAATCTCAAAAGCAATATGGATAAATCTCAAAATTATTATGTCATTAAAAGATGTGAGGCACAAAGTATGTGAAGTATAGAAAAGGCAGGGGGTGGGTGCTTTAAAGACGATAGCAACAAAAGGCAGATAAGCAATTTTGTGCTGAGATAGGAATGATATATTGCTGGTGGGAATGTAAAATGGTGGTGTTTTTTCTTATTTTGTTTTTGTCTGTTCAAAACAGGGTCTTGCTATATAGTCCAGGCTGACCTTGAATGCACAGTGTAGCCCAGGCTGGCCTCAGACTCATGGTGATCCTCCTGCCATAGCCTTCTGAGTGCTGAGATTACAGACGTGTGCTACCACGCTCTATAGCACTTCTTGAAAAGTTCAACAAAGTTACCATATGACCTAGCAGTTCCCCTTCTAAGTATATGTCCCAGAGAAATAAAAATCTGTGTCCATACTAAACCTATACATAAATATTTATAGCATAATTATTCATAGAAATGACAAAACAAATGTCTTATCAACTGATTGATAATTTTTTTTTTTGGTACTATTATAGGAGTGGAACCGAGGGCCTCATGCTTACCAGGCTAAGTGCTGTGCTACTGAGCTACATCCCCAGCCCTTGATATTAAATCTTAAATTCAAGTAGTAGAATACTATTTGGAAATTTTTTTTAATGGTATATTGATACAAGCTACAACCTGGGTGAACCATGTGAGCATTCTGATAAGTGAAAGAAGTCAGTACGGAAGACCAAACACTATGATTTCATTAACGTGAAATGTTCAGAACAGGCAAATGTATAGAGGCAGAAAATAGATTAGTAGATGCCTCAGCCTAGGAGGAGTAAGGATGAGTGAGGAGTGACTGCTTAATGGGTAAGGGGTTTGATATATTTCAAGCTAATGTTTTTACACACATACATACATTGTATTTTCTTTTCCCAAAATGATGTGTCAAGTAAAGATATGGTTGATTTTTTTTTTTTTTTTTAGTACCAGGAATCAAACTTGGGACCTTGGCTTGTGAGGCAGGCACCGGAACCACTGAGCTAAATCCTCGGCCCGATAATTGTTGAATTTTTAAATTATATTTTGGATTAAAAGGAAAGTTCAAATGCTACAAATAGTTTAAATTTCAAGTTCCCCTGTAGTCTTAGCTACTTGGGAGAGTGAGGCAGGAGAATTGCTTGAGCCTACAAGTTCAAAGCCAGCCCACATTACATAGTAGGACTCTTGTCCTCCTTAATCCAAAAGAGTAATTTTATTCACATGTGTTGGTCTTATAATAAAGTAATACTTTCTCCAGTTTACTGATGAGGAAATAATCTAAAAACCAAAACTCACATTTGTGTTTTTGCAGTGCTGGGAATTGAGCCCAGACCTCTTGCATAGTTTTTGTTTTTGGCAGTGCTGGAGATTGAACCCAAGGCCTTCATATTTGAGACAGGGTCATTAAGTTGCCTAGACTCAAATTGAATTTGGCTCAAATTTAGGAACCTCCTGCCTTAGCCTCCCAAAGTTAGGTGATTATAAGTATGTACCACCATGCCCAGCTACATAGTCTTTCATTCACCAAATAATGTTTTATTTTATGGTGGGAAGTATGTTTGAAAAAAATTTTCATCATTTTGGACAATAGTTTCTCTTTAATGAATCTGTATGTTGGTATGGCTTGATGCATCTGATGAATTGCTTCTTTGCTTTTAATAACTAGGATTAGAATTAGTCATTCAGTAGGTGAATTGTAAGTAGATTAATATTATTGTCTGGGTATGTAACTTTTTTGTTGGGATTTTGGGGCTTGGGGGAGTTTTTTGAGACTGGGTCTTGCTGTGTAGTTCAGGCTGACCTTGAACTCACTATGTAGGCCAGGCTGGCCTCAAACTCACAACAGTCTTCTGCCTCAGCCTCCCAAGTGCTGAGATTATGGACCTGTGCCACCATATCCAGCAGTGTTTGTTACTATTTGCATTTTGTTTGAGTGAATTGTCATTAATGGACTTGCCAATGGCTTTTTGTTATTTTTCTTAAAATTACAATTTATGTAAGGAAATGAATACAATATGAAATTTTTTATATAAATATGTCACTTAATTTTTATTTTCAGTAGAGTTATAATTATTAATATTATAACACATTGCAATTTTTTCAGGAGAATGTAAATCCCACGTATCAAAAGGAAGACAAAGTTTAGTTACTCCCCCTCTGCAGAAACTTCTTTGAACCTGATTTTTTAATTTGATATGTATTCCAGAACAATGCAATTAGGGTAATTACTAATCTTATAATATTACTAATTTATATTTTCTTTTTTTTTTTAAGTGCACTAGTAAAATTGATGAATAAATCAATAGAGGGGACAGCAGATGATGAAGAGGAGGGTGTAAGTCCAGATACAGCTATTCGTTCAGGACTTGAACTTCTTAAGGTATTTTTGAAACAGTTTTATTGCCATTTATTTTCATGGTATCATAATTTACATTCCCTTCAGGATATGCAAAGCTGAGGCTTATTTTATTGGAAATTACTCAGAAGATGAAAAATTTATGGTAGAGGTCAGATTTTACAAAAATAGGTTTTTTTACAATAATAAAGTATTTTAAGGATAAAATGTTTTGGGGTTTTACTGTTTTGTTCATCATTTTCTTGCCTGCTATGCTTGTGACAATGAGTGCTAAATAATCTTGTCTTACCTTTCAGAAAACTTGCATCTGAGGCAGTTGACTGCCCATAGGAATTATTATAATACATCCTTTGTCTGATTGGGAATTCTTAACAATTATTAGTCATAGTAAATTCCAAAATGTTCAACAAATTGAACAGTTAGTTAGAGCCAAATGACTCAAGGCTGTGGACATAATACAACTGAAGAATAGGGGCTGCTTTGGGGAATAATGGGAGAAAAACTTGGTTCCAGATGACAGAGTGCCATTGGGCAGAAAGGTACTGGAGCCACCTTGAACCTGCTGTTTGAAAAGTCACAACACTTGATAGAGCTTTCATTGGATGGAATAAAGAGGGGGGGAAAAATTGAAGCCAAAGAGCGACTGAAACCACTGTACCTAATTTAAGGGAGGAAAAGACAAAACAGTGCAGAGGACCTTCAATAGAAAAAAGAGTGATGGGATCATACTGAGATTGTCTTAAATATTTCTTTGAAAAGAATTGGTATGATGTTTCATGAATAAGCTTTTAATTATATTTTTAAAAGTAAGGTCACCTTTAACATAAATGATAGGTTGGGCCGGGGATTTAGCTCAGTGGTTCCGCTGCCTGCCTTGCAAGCGCAAGGTCCTGAGTTCGTTCCCTGGTACAAAAAAAAATTAAAATAAAATAAACATAAATAATAGGTTGTTTTTCACTCCATTTTTCAAATTCTCCATGTTTCTGTAAATAATTAAAACTTCCTAACTAAATGTTACCACTGCAAAGCTCACTGAAATAATCTCTGTACTTATAACTCATTTGAAAAATGCTTACTGAATAAGTTAAAGACTTCCTGCTTTAATCTTTTCCTTTCCTCTCCAATTTTAGCCCTTATTTCTGATATTACACTGAACTATTTCTACTTCATGAAAAGTAGACTTTGTAGACATGTCACATATAAGTTGCTATAAGTTCTTTAAGGATAAGCTAGGGGTCACATCGTAACAAAGGAGTAATTACATGTTTGGAGTTGTCATTAAAAGTTCACAATGAGGGCCGGGGATTTAGCTCAGTGGTTCCACCACCTGCTGTGCAAGCTCAAGGACCTGAGTTCGATCCCCGGTACCAAAAAAAAAAAGTTAACAATGATGCCATTGAGGGGCCGGGGATTTAGCTCAATGGTTTTGCCGCCGACTGTGCAAGCGCAAGGACCTGAGTTTGATCCCCGGTACCAAAAAAAAAATTCACACTGATTGCTTCTTGGTTGATAGTTACGATGAATGAAGCTTTTGTGATAAATTTCATTTCACCTCAACTGACAGTAGTATTTAATATTAGACTATTACACTTCTTTTAAAAAGAGCTAAGCTGGGCTGGGGATTTAGCTCAGTGGTTCCGCCGCCTGCCTCACAAGCACAAGGTCCCGAGTTTGATCCCTGGTACCAAAAAACAAAAGAGCTAAGCTTGGGC